TGAGAAGAAGATTCACACAACCACGACACTCCCGCACACTTTTGTTCAATTTTCCAGCGTAGGTGGGAAAGGCGAACAAGGACGCCGGCACTGGCTTGGCTGCGTCGTGTGTGGTCTGGTCGTCTGGAGATGGAGACAACGCTTTGCTGGGTCGAGAAATGGCTCGACGGAGGAGGTGGACAGAGTCTAACCGGGTGGAGAGAGACTAGGGAAAAAGAGAGAGGACTGGACTGGAGAAGGGAAGGACGGCTCCAAGCCCACTTCAAAGTCTGAACAGAATCCCAGCAGCAGCCAATCGAGTGATGGATGGGTGATGGATGCTCTCGTAGATTGCCAATGGTGCACCGTCAACCCCTCGCTCACCCAGAGCGACAGAGAGACAGACACTCAGAAGGAAGGAACTCTCAACGCTGAAGAGGCGGTGAGGGTGCATATACAACCCCAGTCTAACCTCACCACGCTGATTGGTACTCGTTGCCAGCCCAGCATCCAAGCCGTGGATGCGTGCATGGATCCCACGGCCAATCAGTTCGTCCCATACCGAACGGGAATGGCCTGCCACTCGTTGCCAGCACTCCGGGCACGGCTCCACAACCTGCCTTCAAGGTTCCTTCTCGGCTTTCCGTCCCACTTCCACACTTTGGGCAAGAGCTTCTTCATGTTCCAGAGAGAAAGTGGCAGGTCCAATCCAACCTCGTCGCACTGTAACAAGACTTCCTTGTACCAAGTCCCCTTTGGAGCTTCTCAGTCTTCTTCTTTAAGCCCCGCTTCTCATTGCACTACACATTGGATTCCCGTCATCCAACATTGGACAATGTCCTGGAAGCAATGGGGCAATGGACAAATGGAAGATGGATAGAGCGATGGCCATCTGTATAATCGGACCCATTGTGGGATGGGAAAAGACGCTGTCGAGAACTTCAAAACACTGCCCTCAGGGGTACAGTCCCCGGCATGTCTTCAACGTTGTTGTCGAGGCCAGAAAACGAGGCCCAGTGCCAACAAACCAAACTTGGGGCTTTGACCATACATATCTCGGACGGAGTCTTCGTATCGTCCATATCTATCTGCAAAAAAAGATGATAACAACAACCAACCAGTCAATCCGTCTTGGGCCAAGCCTAGTTGGCACTTGAGGGGAGCGAATTCAGCTTTTGGCACAGACACGGTATAGTCTATAGGGCTATCCTCCTCAAGCGAAGGGCAAAAAGGCCACGGAAAAAGCCCAGCCGGAGACTTTGGACTGTTTGAGTCTCGACGCCCATCACTCAACCATAGTAAATCACCCCACCACACATCCGATCCCATCCCAAACCCGCTCGCTGCCTGTCTACCCAAGTCCCAGGTGGAAAGCGGAAATAGCAGCTACGGAGTCCGGAATAGGGCCCGGAGCCTGGATTGCCTGGATGGAAGTGCCCTGGATAAAAACTCCGACTTGATTGATACGGAAGGACGCGGCTCCTGCCGACGACGAGGGAGCTGCTTAGTTTTAAAGGTAGGGTCATGCTGGCCTACCGCTGCTTTCGCGGAGTCGCGGCGGCGGCGGCGGCGGATCGAATCGGCTTTCTGGCGATGCCTGCCTGACATGATGCGGATGCCATCATCAAACAACAAATCGCCGACTCCTAGGGATCATCCCGACAACACACGTGTGAGTCCGTAAGGAATTGATTCCTCGCCTAATGCCATGATACGATGATTTTTCTGTTTCGATCCTTGCAGTTTGTCATACACGCCAGAAATGGGAGAATCGACTCTTGGCCCTTTCATGGAGAGTATGAAACCTGTGTGGGACGTGGCCGTTCCGGCTTGCCTCTCTCTCACCACTCCTCAGTACATACTCCTCCTCCCACGTAGCAAGGATAGAAAGCAGTAGTCTCGGTCATGATCGAATCGCATCTCGGTCGCCACGCCGTTACAGTTTGCTTTCCACTTCACACACATACACACACAAGAAGGGTGTGCATGGTGGCTGACCCTCCTCCTCCTCTCTACGTTTCCACCACCCCTCACAGCAGCAGCCTTCTTCTCTCTCTGGAATCTGTCCTGCTCCAAAACCTGCTGTTATCCGCCCTTTGTCACACGCTCCAGAGTCGCTCGACTTGTCTGGGCATGCCTAACTGCCGGTGTCATTGCCATACCTTGTACGGTATTTCCAGCATGTCTCGAGCGATAAAACCAGCTCGGTCAGAGATTCAGACACATCCAGATCTGACCAGACATCCCCAGTCCTCTTGTTATCTGTCATCCCAATCAGGCTCAGAACCCGGAGGCGGTTAACCATTATGGGAACGCTGGTCTTCAGTCTCAAGCCTCAACCTCGAGTAGGCAGCTCTTCGTCATCCTCCTCCAGCGTTGACGTTCAAGATCTTGAGCAAGTTTCGACTGGAGCAACAAACGTCGTCAATCATCTTGATCAACTCACCAACAACATCCCACGGAAAACAATGGCAACATGTCCTGCTTCTGCCGGCAATTATGTGATGAAAGGAGGGGAGCACAACATAGATTGACACCGTGCACCGACTCCGTTATTGCGGCGCAGTCGATGGAATGGCCAATCGATATGTGAGAAGGATAAGGAAAAGAGGCATGTCGTCGCCGGAGATGCTCTGGCCTTAACCAAGTACTCGCACAGTGGCCGCTACTGTTTTCTGGACGCAAACTGGCAGTCTTCTCGGTCCCGGTCGCGGTGGCTTGTTGCATTCGGCTCGCTGGAGATGCGATGCTAGTCAGTGGGCCACAAATACCTGCCACCCATTTAACTGGTCCAGGTGTTCCCTCCCCCCTCCAAGCCCTTTTAGGCATGGGGCCGGTCCCTGTCAACGAGGATGAGCTTTCCCCACGCTAAGCTAGGGTTATCAAGATCCAGTCGGTTTGTGGAGACCCCTCTAGCTCCTCTGGACCCTTGAAAAAGAGGAGCTGTTGCAACCTTTGAAAGAAGCTTAACCTGTCCGTAGCGTTTGTTCCTGCTTTTGATGGCATCCCATCCCCACCCTTTCTGTTGAAACGAAACGAAACCATTAGGCAAAGGACACATCAGAGCCTCATTATGAAACTGGTGAAATGGTTAGTGTAACCGATCACAGCCAAAAAAAAAAAAAAAAAAAAAGTACTTTATTTTGATTCGAGATCCCCGAAGCTGGCGTGCTGGAGCCCGATCAGGAACTCCATATGCGGCCCGTATTCTTCTTGGGATCGGCGACACTAGGACCGACTCGAACGAGTCAAGTCTTGGTCTAGAGGGGCCGGGGATTTTTTCACCGTGGAATCCGTGCTCGTCAGTCCGAAAGGTGGTCCACGATACGTTCGGATTTTGAGCCTCAGAATGGCAGTCCAAGGAGGAGAAAAAGGCCGCTAGCGCGCTCGCTACCGAAAACCCTGGCTGTGGCCACTGTCGAATATCGAGCCAGACTCAACAAAGAAAGGCTCTGTTCGTAGCGACCAAGAAACGAGAGACATGTGTTCGTGGTCGGGGTTGCTTGCTCCTTGTCTTTGGTGCGTTGATGCTCATGGAAGAAGAAGAGGACATGATGGGCAAAAGATGGTGATCAATGGCGTGAGGTATCGGCATTGTTGTCAATCAAGTGAGAGACCGTTTACAGCCAACTTTTGAGCAGTGAGTGACTGTCTGGACTTCTCTGATAGGGGGTGTGTAACCCAACGGTTCGGAAGCAACGCAGCGTGGCCGAATCTCTCTGGCAGTCTTTGCGGAGGTTCACCGGGGTTGTCGCCGGGGTTGTCGTCGTTGTTGCCGGTACAAGTGCCGCGCATACGGACCAAGGCCCGAATGCCGGACGAGCCAGGAGGCATGGATTTATAACCGGTCATTATCTCCGAAATCCAACTCGTAGGATTGGCCGAGTCCTTTTTGGTCTTGTCTTTGCCCCTATTCAGACTCTTCACAAATTGCTCGGTAGCACGGCAGCGCGGCAGAAACATATTCAAGAGAGCTTTTTGACCAGCGAAAATGACTCGCTTCTCACCTTACGTTTTTTTGCTTCAGTGCAGCTGAAGGATACCCTGAGATGGATCCCATGTGAGCTGATGCAGTGAAAACCGTTCCTGCGTGCAGTGGATCGGTGATTGCTAGGCGATTTTCATGGAAGGTCCGAGTTCTGCCGTCTCTTGATCCATAGGGCTGACGGCCAGGGCAACCGAGGTCGCTTCTCCCAAAGTCCCAGCTCCCCCGTCAATGCGGAGTTGTCAGTCCCGGAGTCGGGTTCGGGATGAGGATCGGAGATTGCCGCAGTCATCCAGAACACGGCATCCTGGAAGCAACTCATGATGTTTTATCGCCGTCGATGGCCTCTAGAACTGGAAGAAGATGCATAGTTTTGGCGATGAAATCTCCGATGCGTTAGCAGTTGGCAAAGGAGAGGTTCAATTTGAGTTCGAGTGGCGTTGAGTTAGAGTTGAGAGCCGCAAGGTTGCCATAAATGCATCCACCCGGGGAAAGAGATGGAAAGTTTTCAAGGAGATTCAGGTTGAAGAGATACGAAGATCACATCAACCGAAATTCAGGTTGAGTTCTGTTGGAAGGAAGGGACGTCGTCGAATTCCCAGGGAGCCTTTCGTCATGCGAAGCACTGGGCAGGCAGAAGGTACGTACCTGTGCAGTAAGCGACCACTGGCAAGGGAGAGTTGACACCTCACCGACACCTGGCGGGGTCCGCCGTCAAGCTTACCGGCAATATCCCACCAATGCTGTCCGCCCAGTTGCCGGGTGACTGCCCCCTCACCTCACTGAGTGCCCGGCGGACATGACAGTGGACTGACCCCAACAATGGACAACACGCCGCCAAACCGCCGCCGTCGCCGCCAAACAGCGAATGCAAAGGCCGCAAACATCGAGTCCACCTGTGACATCGCCAATCTATAATTGTAGACTTGGCAGAACAATACCAAGTGTGATGGGATTCTCAATCATTGTGTCCCAACCAGTCTGTTCTTAACACACTCACTTTCCTTCATCTCATTTCTGCTTATCCGATTGTTGAATGGTGGTGCGCACAAAGGGAGCGCGGTGCCGGAATCGCGCCATCTTCATTCGCAAGTTTCCCAAACAAAAGGGGGACATGGCCGCCGCCTCCAACCCGACCTCTCAAGAAGGGGCCGCTACTAGTACTTCTTCTCAGCAGCAGCAGCCAAACCTGGACGCCATCACCGACGACGATTTTGAATACGTCGACGAGGAGTTTGTCTCCAATTATACCCCAGAAGAAGCAGTTCAACCACAGCCCACCGAACCCATGATTCCCGACCTGTTCAAGCAGCCTCCCCTGGTGAAGGATGACCTCATCACCGACACCTCCAAGCTCCAGGACCAGACGGTCGAACACTGTCTACCCTTCCTGGCCGGCCAGGATGGGCCCCTCGAGCTGAATGACTATGGCCTCCCCAGGCTGAACAGGGAGAAGCATATCAAGTTCCTGAAGCAGTCCCTTGGGCCGTTACCAGGTCGCTTTGTGGGAATGGATGCTAGTAGGCCATGGTTCCTGTACTGGTGCCTGTCTGGTCTCACCATGATGGGGGAGGATGTGTCCAGTTACCGGGAGAGCGTCATTGCGACTGCTCGCACCATGCAGAATGAGTCTGGAGGGTTCGGGGGAGGTCATGGACAGCTTTCGCATCTGGCTACTACCTATTCCGTTATCTTGGCTATCGCCCTGGTTGGAGGTGAGGAGGCTTATAATGTTATCGATAGGAAGGGCATGTGGAAATGGCTTTGCACGTTGAAGCAGCCTGATGGTGGCTTTCAGGTGTGTGTAGGAGGTGAGGAGGATATCAGGTTCGTCGGCCCCAAGTCACGGTGTTCATCAAGAAGTTGTCTGACACTACAGGGTAACTGAAAAGGGGGGCATATATCGCGGCTGTTGTCATCACCCTGCTCGATCTACCTCTGGACTTGACACCAGAATCTCCTGCATATGACGGTGGTCGTTCCAACCTGTTGACCGGCATGGCGGAATATGTGCGTAGCTGTAAGTGTTTTATCCTGGTGGTTCATCGTCACAATGAAACAAAAGAGGCTATGAAGAGACAGTCAGGCTAACATGAGCTCAGGCCAAACCTTTGAGGGCGGGATTTCTAGTCAACCCAACAACGAGGCACATGGCGCGTATGCCTTTTGCGCTCTTGCCTGTCTCGCCCTCCTAGACAACCCTCGCCGGATCATCCCAAGGTAAGCAACTGTGAATATAACCCGAGCAAGCATGAAGCAAGCAGTATAACTCCTACCACCCTCATCCACCCTTCATGTCCTGAGAGATGATCCACTTAAGCGGTGACAACACTGCATTTCATATCTCCATTCATGCGCATGCTCTTCTCACGCACCTTCCAATCAGACACACAGACACACAGACAAGCAGACAGCTAACAGCCCTCTCCTCCCCACTCACCAGCTACCTAGACATTCCCCGCCTCGTCTCCTGGCTGTCTTACCGGCAATACGCTCCCGAAGGCGGGTTCTCGGGACGCACCAACAAGCTGGTTGACGGCTGCTACAGCCACTGGGTGGGCGGATGTTTCCCTCTTATTGAGGCATGTCTCAGTCCCTCCGGCTCCGGTTCCGAGAAGGAGAACAACAAGACAGCCACCAGTGGTCTTGCGGCGGCGCCGGAGAGCCTGTACAACAGGGAGGGCCTTATTCGGTATATCCTCTCTTGTTGCCAGGACCAGACGAAGCGGGGTGGGTTGAGGGATAAGCCATATAAGTGAGTTTTTCACCCTTTGATTTTTTTTTTGCTTTGTTTTGCTTTGTTTTGCTTTGTTTTGCTTTGCTCTGATTGGTGATGATGGGCTTTCATTTGGCTCTACGTTAACTCCCTTTTCACTTCACCTCATTCGTTTTATCTCCTTCACCTCACTCATCTCATCTTACTTTACTAATATCTCACCTAACCCACTTTCACTTTTCTCCTAAACCCAGCTCACCTCACCTCCTTTCACCTACCTTACTTAACCCTCACTCATCTATCCCGCATCCTCACCTCCCAACCCTTCCCGCCTCCTTTCCAAGCCACGTCCCTCTTATCCCCTCCTCTTCTCCTCTCCCCTTCCTCTCCCCCTCCATAACCCCCAGTACTAACCTCCCCCTTTCCTCCCCAAAAACAGAATGTCAGACGCCTACCACACCAATTACGTCCTCTCCGGCCTCTCCTCCGCCCAACACCAATGGGACCTAGACAGCGACCCTCTCCCTCTTCCCGAGGGCGAGACCACGCCCACCATGGCCGCGTTAGGCGCCGACTCCATCTGGAATGTGTTTCCTTTCATCGACGACAACGACCAGGTCTACGAAGACTCGGACCGCGTCCGGCCTATCCACCCGGCTTATGCGATTCCGCAGAAGAACGTGGCGGGCATTAGGGCGTATTTTCAGGGGAGGAGTGGGTTTGCTTAGTTACTTCTAGGTAGGATGCGGACGGAGGAAACAGTAGATCGAGGGGGAGGAGGTGGATGAGGTTGAGGAGATTTGGGTAGAAGCAAAGGAGAAGATGAAAGGTGAGGTGCCGTGGGTTACATATTAGTGTGGAAAGCGAATGAGTCATGCGGAAATATGACTAAATGGCATATGGTATTGAGGCAGCGAGTGCTGGGTGATGATGGAGGATATTGTGTGAAGGATGATGGAAGAGGTGTGCTTGCATCAAACAGCGGAAATAGGTAGACGCTCCACGGCAATCCTTATACTAGCATATAGTTCTTTTGCATTGTCCAAGACAGACAGACAGAATGGCATGCTCCGTTTCTTGCGAACCCGGCTTGGCGTTTAGCCGGCATTAACATTATATACCTACTGGCATGCATGCCCACCATGAGTGAGTACAGCCAGCAAGAGAAGATATGACGAATTGTACGTCGAACGTGACCTATCTACAAACTGCAATCCACATCCCCCAGAATCCTTACTACTCTTGTATCATCTGTGTGAAATTTGGTATTCGACCACCGATATGGTGCTGCCTTTGACCAGTTACTGACTCACTCACTCACACTTCACTCTGTTATCACAGGCTATCGGCCTAGACTGCATTTGTTCTCGTACGAAGTTGTTACAGAGCTGGCCGCCGTACAACTTTATACGTATCGTACAGTTTCTTTTTCTATACGATACGTACAGCCTTCTGCATCCCCCTCATACTGCATCTGTACTCAAATTTCGACCATGTGTACATTTTGGGGCTTCTGTATGAAGTTGGCAAATTTGTACGATTTTCTGTTTATATAAAACCCTAACCCGGACAAGGCTATGCGAGGCTATTATGAGGGGGTTGCAACTTTGAAATCTGTACGAAATTCCGCCAAATGCGTGGTTTTTTTTGCGTACAGCGTACAGAAAATGCCGTACAGAGGCCTCTGTAACAACTTCGTACGAGAACAAATGCAGTCCTACATATGTCAGACATTGCTGACATTTGCCATATAAGATTTCATACTTGTGTGAAGTCTGTTGTATAAGTCTGGGATAAATGAGAATGGCATTAGCTATCGGAACAAAGCATATGCCGATGCCATCAGACTGCCGATTGGCCGATTGCCGAATTCCAAGGCCGCCGAAAGTCGAAGGCGGATGAACCGAAAGGGTTGAGCAAAGAAACCCATAACAGGCACGGCTATAATGATAGGAGTAATCAGCTCGACGCTGGTCATCTTGAACATACTAACGTTCAGTCTCACTGACCCGGCGTCTTCCTGTGTACTCTTTACGTAGCCATCTCAAAATGCGGTTCCTCGCATTCCCACAGCAAAGAGCGGCTCTCGGAAAGTCCTCCGCCACCATAACCACTGGATTCTGTGGGTTTGTCTTGGGAAAAATGCAGGTCAGCCTATCAGACTGTGGGTATACAGGCAATCACTGGGGCAAAGAGAAGCCTTCTGCTGCACTTCCACCTCGTGGTTAGGCACCCATCCGTTCGGAACAAGGCGAGAGTGAGGTGACTGCAGGATACGACGTGTTGAATGAAAATGCCTTGGCTTGAGACTTGAGCAAAGTGGATTTGAGCATGAAGTGCATAAAACAATCTGTGATTGACTGTCAATATCCGTCGCTACCCATCCTTCCGAGCACGCCACCAGCGATCAACTCGTGCAGATATGGAACGAAGGAAAGGACGGGCTAGGCGTGAATGCAGGTATGCGTACCGAGAGGCCGTGAGCGCACAACACTGTGGCAACATGGCAGTCCACGCACCATGACAAACCTCAAGGGCCATTGACGATGTCCATACGGGGAAGTTTGTGAGTTGAGACAATAGAAATAGGCAGGCGGTTGTCTTGCTCTCAACACTTAATCCCTTGGACGGGGTTCATGCTGCCGGACAGAAAGTCCGGGGGACCACACAGGTTTTGGATCAAGTCAACCACCGAAATCTCAACTTCTCAGAGCGATATGCCTTCTAGGCATAGTGTTGCTTGCCTTATACCCCTTGGTAGTGCCCGATTGCTGTGTCGCCCTCCCGGAATGCTCAGTTCAGATCGGCACCACAAAGACGATGGCGGAGTGGGGGTGATGATCAAGAATAAATCAACCACCCCGTGAAAAGCCCTTCATGGGGGGTCCAATTGTGCCTCTATGAGGTTCTATATCCCAATTACATTTCTGGTCAGGGTCCCTGGATAAGCCCTCGGATGGGTCCCAGGTAGCATCAGATAATGGTTGCCAATGGCATGGCAATGGGTAGAAAAGTGCACAAGTCATAGAAGGCTGCAGAACAGCTACTACAACTTGTATATGCATGGTTCATGCTCTGTCGTGTAATCTCACCTGTAATACCGGAATGTGAGCAACGTGGTACATGGCAAAAAGGGATGATACTGATGTGGAATGGTAAAGGTCAAGCGATGTCCCAACCCAGGTGAATGGTAGCGAGAGAGGGCTGTTGGAGTTGTGAAGGCTGAGACGGCAGTCCAATTTCCAGGCCAAGCCCCAGAAACCGGCATGATGGAATATAGTGATGTAAGTTTCTCCGACTCCAAGCAACTTTGCCCGTCTTTGCCGAGCTCTACTCTTGTCTTGGTCATCCGGCGAGGTGTTTTTCTCCGGACAAATCGAAGGTTTCGACGGGCCAAGGCCCATCACGGCGGCCTGGTGGCGCAGTCGAAGCCTGGAGAAGAGGTTGGAAAACATAGCATTGAGCCAGATCGTAGCTGATGGGTGTTTGGTAAGATCGTGGTTGAGATTGGTAGAGGTACGTAGAGACCATTCAGTCGAAGCATGACGTTGCAATGGAATGAATCAGAGAAGGCTGAGCATCCATCATATGCGAGTGATGGCTTCCAAGGGGCTGCAACATCACTTCAAGCTCAGCTATGCCGTATCGTACCGAGCGTACCTACCCCTCATCGTGTCAACCATTGGAGGTCACTCGCGTCCATTGGAAAGGAAGGAACGAACGTAGCGAGCATGCGGGGTGAACTCAAGGGAGCAGAAAAAAAGGGAAGAACGACCTTTCTTGAACCCCCAACTCTCCAAGGAAGGTGCTGATCGATAAGGCAAGACGATGGCATTGTGATTGGTCCTGGTCTGTCGAGTGCTGAACTGCTCATCCCAGCTTGGGATCAAGTTCAAGCAAGCGAGCCCGAGATTGTCGATCGAGGAGGGGAATGTCTGGGTGACAGCTGCTTCTTTATTCAGGTGTTGGGTTTTCCAGACGGCTTGATAGTTTGAAGTTGAAATTGAGGCAAAGTTCAATAACCCATCGAGGTCTTGGGTGTTCGTTGGGTGCGTGTTCTGGAAGAATTCCATTCCCTGGGGGTGTTCAGCTCCAAATGGCAAATGCCCCTCTCTTCCCCTCCATCACAAAAGACCCGCTTTTTATAGCGACATCAATTGAAGATCCAGGAGCATTGACCACCAACCATTTGCACTTTCATGTGCTTCGTGTTTTGGGTCAACGAAATAACCTTTCCGTGTGAAACAGACGGCGTCCGAACATGGTGGCATGCACCGATCTTTCCAATGTCGATTCCGGCGGGAGATAAGTGACAGAGAGACAGAAACCTCAACTGGAAGTTTGTAGGGCAGGTGCGATATGGTCATCACTGAATCAAGGCTGCCACTTCAATCATTGAGGTGCACAGAGCAGGCACGCAGAGAGTCCCCGCACTCTGAACAACTCGTCCCTTCGTCTCTCTGTCATCCATTTTCAACCTCTCATCTCCGAATCTTCCACTTTCAACACCATATATCAATTGACGAAACTTCAACCCAACAGCCTCATGGTCACTTTTCTGTCCCGGCAAGGTATACACGGTGAAGCCTAAAAGATGACAGCCGAATCACCATACTCAGAAATGAGCCCTGGGCAGAGCGATGGGGCAAAGCAAGCAATGAGCAGGCAGACAGCAAGTGAAGAAGATTGACACTTGCAGCATCCATGATGACTTCCACTTGGGTCGTCTTTCGGGTCTCCTCCCCATCCTCCTTCTCCGGCCCTTCAACACCAAATTTCCGCCAACGAGAGCGACTATCGCCATCCTGACTGGCTGTCCTCCTTCTTCCTCTTTCCCCCCCTCCGCCCGCGCCCGTCTTCTTCCTTGCACACACGCCGGCCTATGAATGGCACGGCACTGCTGGCCCCGTTCACTGCTCCGTGGAGGTTCCGCCCGTCTCTTCCGGCTCGGTTGACTCCCTTTTGGAGACCCCTTTGTACCCGTACATCCGGCAAGGCATGGAAGGGCCTGTCACTGCCTGTTCTTCGCCTGCTGCTCTTGTCACGCAACTCCAGCAGTGCCCGCAGCACGTCTTCCATGATTTCTGCACCAGTCCATTCTGGCTCGTCGATTTAATATCCAGCAGCATTGCCAACTCATCATTGCATGCGTCTTAAGGCCTTCTTGTGCCTAGCTGCCTCGCGGCCTTGCGGCCTCGCCATCCACCCGGCCATTCAGCGTCTTCGCTTTCGCCTGGGGCCAGACGCACCCGCACCCAGGACATGCAAGGGTTCGCCGGCCCAGCCACTGTTCATGCACCTCATCCCTCATTCACCGACTTCGTGGTCGGCCAGAGAGCCAGTCATTTTGATATGGCTCGATTTGTGAAGCTACACAGACCTGTGTACCGGCCCTTTCCATGGCCATGACCACAATTTCTCACCACTACGACACCCGGACGAACCCAATTTGCTGACCAACTAGACGACAGCTTGAAAGGCAAGTGCTGCCAAGAGAGAGAAAACAAACACCGAGAAGCAGACGGTGGCCCATGGGGGGTGGGTAACTGGGGGCACTACGAATCGATGGTTCTGTCACGTGATTTGTATTATTTTGTATATTATCCTCTATGCGGCACAAGAACGTGCCGCTAATAGTTGTATTTCAATAAATTATATACTGCGGATAACTCAATTACTTATATCTAATCTTTATATATTTTATATAGTACATTACAATATATGCTAATTATATATACTCTTACAGCGATAGCTCAGTTGGAAAGATCTGAGCTTGGTTTACCTTCAGTGTCATCTAAAAGGTCATGGATTCGAATCTATAACAGGCTGGGGTGCATATGCCCAGACGGCCAAACCTACAAAAGATAGGACAATGTTCTACTTATAAGGCAGAACTCGGAATGCACACTATAGCTAACGCTAACCTGTGACAGAATCTTGCTCCTCTTACTTCCATCCAGTTTTAAAAAAAATTAGATAGAATCTCCCCTACCTTCCTAGTTGTAAGAGGTGTTAAAGATGATGTTGAGCTCACTTTAGTCTTTAACTTACCCATGGATACACGTGATTAAGCACTTGTAGAAAATCTCTTTCTTGGGCTTACTAATATTAGTTCCAGTATTACTAAGCTAACCAATAAGGGTTCGAAGAATTGAAACCTTGATAAATCCAATTGACCAATTGTTATCTCTCTCACCAAAAAATCCCAGCCTCACAACCTCTTACAGGCAGCCGACTAGCTAATCGGCAGAAAAATCCAGTACCAGGAGTAAGACCCCTCCTCCTCCACCCCTGAACCATGAAGATAGAATAAAAGAAGGATCCCCCGGCGCATACTTGAGGCAACCAAAGCGTAAGGTGAGGGGGGGCGGGGTCTCAGTATATCAGCCAATCAGAAGTAACGAAGTTTACTGGGACGAAAATGAGATAACCGATAAGAACAAATAGCAAACATCGAAGCAACCACGGCTC